GCCCGGGCAACAAAGTGAGACTCTCTGTCTCAAAAAAAACAAAAACAACAAAAAAGAATTTCCTGAGCAGGCGAAGTGGCTTACTCCTGTAATCCCAGCACTTTGGGAAGCTGCGGTGGATGGATCATTTGAGGTCACGACATGGTGAAACACCACGTCTACCAAAAATACAAAAATGAGCTGGGTGTGTGGGTGGGCGCCTGTAATCCCAGCTACTCGGGAGGCTGAGGCAAGACAATTGCTTGAGCCTGGGTAGGGGAGGTTGCAGTGAGACAGAGAGAGACTGTTTAAAAATAAAAAGAATCTCCCTTTAGCTCTGTCGTTTCCTCTTAGTAATTAACCATGAGCTGACTACACAGTCTGTTTACTGGCTAGAAATTCCCTGTCTGCGCTGTATTCGGAAGTGGGCCTCGTTTCATGAGGTCGCTTTCTCCCTATTCCAATAGGCCCTAATGGAAATCTGCTTTTACCACTTTAGATAGTATCCAGTGCTGGTTTCTTGAAATATACCTTAGACACTGTCATTTTTAAAAATAAAAGTAACTTTTAGAATACGTGGCAGTCATTATCCCTTAAAGAAAACTTTAAGGGTTTCATTTTCATTCACCTTTGTTCAATTTTAAAGAAATCATTTAATTTGGGTGCCACTTATTGACTTTTATTTTTTGAGACAAAAGTCTCACTCTGTTGCCCAGGCTGGAGTGCAAGCGTGATCTTGGTTCACTGCAACCTCCGCCTCCCAGGTTCAAGAGATGCTCCTGCCTCAGACTCCTGAGTACCTGGGACTACAGGTGCCCGCCACCACACCCAGCTAATTTTTCTGTTTTCAGCAGAGACGAGGTTTCACCATGTTGTCCAGGATGGTCTCGATCTCTTGACCTTGTCATCTGCCCGCCTGAGCCTCCCAAAGTGCTGGGATTACAAGCGTGAGCCACTGCACCTGGTCACCACTTATTCTTTGAGACAGAGATTTGCTTCTGTTGTCCAGGCTGGAGTGTAATGGCGTGATCTCCAACTACCTACTGTAACACCAGGACGAGGTGGGAGGCAAGTAGAGACTACTCCTGTAAATCAAAGCCAACCACAATTATTCAGACTAGCCAGTACTCAGATGTCGGCTCTGATCTGCCTTGCCTTTCCCATGGAAAACACAATAAAGGATCTGGTCTAGGCTTTCCCCTAGCTCTTGCCTCTTCCTTCACACTAAAACCTGTTCCTCCTGGGGCCCTGCATGGCACACTGTGCTTCAGATTTCTAGGGAAATTCTCAGAAACGCTGAACTTTTATTTCAGTGGCATTGAGCTCTCCATGTCCTTTTCCAATAAAGATCCATCCACAAATTGGCCTTTCTTGGCTGTGTAATATTACATACCACTCCAGCACGTCTCAATGCCTTCACCTTCTCTTTTCTCCATTATGCTTGCCACAATCTAAGACTCCATATAATTCAGAATTTTTTTTTTTCGTATTTCCTCCTCTTTCTTCAGTAAAATGTAAGCTACTGGGGTCTGTCTCTTGTTTTGCAAATGTCTCCTGCAGTAAAGACACTACCTGAAATACAGCAGGTATTTACTGAACATTTGTTACAACTATGAATAAGCATGAATACTACAGCATCCCTGTTCACCTCCACATTCCGATAGGGCTTTCTAAATGTTTTCTTTAGTTGTCCCCCCAGGTATTACTCAGAGTCACCAGAACTCTAACTGGTCACAAAAGGTACTTCTTGGGCCCATCGCACCTCTTTACTCCCAGGGTTAGTGAAAGTACAGCAAAGACACTAAAGTAGAAAAGACATTAGGTATAGAGCCCAGGGAGGTACAGGAATCTAGGAAAACTACATTCATTGCTGCTCCAGGGACCTTGTCCGTAACAGTAACACAGTACTGGAGATCCTGAGATTTCTGGATACACTGATCCCATTCAGCCATAGTGCCTGGGCTGTCTGTGGTGTTTTTATAACGGACACTTCCCCTCTAGTTTGCCTCGATCTTCCCAAGCCCAATCATTCACACCTAATATTTATCAATTTTGTTTCCATACTGGATGCTTTAGATCTTACCAAGTGGCCTGTGTACCAGATTCCGGTTTTCAGAAAACATGGCCACTCAGCAGGTCCTGAGGAATAGGTTTACCTCAACAGTGTTGGGGAACATGGGACATATGCTAGAAACAAGATGCCCAATCCATGCAGTTTCAAAACACTACAGGCTGTCACAGCAGCAGCACCCTCCTCAACGTGACAGATGGGCTCTCAAATAACTCTAAAATCCGGACAAATCAGGCCTACAAAGATCTGAATTGTAACTTAACAAGCTTTGACAGCTATGCAAGTTAACTTAGTCCAGTCGAAAACTGGACTAAGAACTGTTCTCCGTCAACCCACTGTCCCATTTGAGGCACAAAGTTGGAGGCCCCCACAAAGGCGGTCTTCAGTTTGGCAGGGCCTGTTCTCAATCCAATCCAGTGAAAAGAATGTCCAAGATTAAAGGTGGCTTAAACTGTAAGGCCTTTATTATCACAACCAGAGCAACATGAGGCACGTACTTTCCCAGGCCAGGTGACTTGGAGGCTGGAAAAAATCATTACAAGTATGTGAGACCAAGACTATCCATGAAGAAAGCAAACCTTTTGTATAAGGCACCAACAGATACAGCTCGGACCTTCTTGGCTAAAGATGGGTCATGTCCATATCTATACCTGTCACACAGAAGGGAATGAGGACCCCCAATGAACTCAGGCATTTCATGATTTTCTCCAGGGACCGGAAAATATAAAACCCTGTCTTCCCTGATGCTAGGGTATGTGAGCTGGTAGAGTTAAGATGGTTTTGGCCACAGGCACTGACAGTGAGGTAACTCCAGCAAAAAACCTGACCAGGTCAGAAAGTGCAACATATCCCTAGAAGTTTCCTACATACCTGGCACCATAAGCTATCTCCCTTGAGTCAATGTTCAGATACATGAAGTTCAACATCTGACTGATGAGTTCTGTTGTATTCAAAGCAGTCCTAGAGCCTGCCTGCAGTGTGAACTTTCTGGTGCCGACTGAGGTGAAGGCTTAGGTGGTAGGCCTTCCCACATTCACTGCCTTTCTCCAGTGTGAAGTCTTTGGTGCCGAACAAGGTGGGAGGTTCTCATAAAGTCTTTCCCACATTTACTGCATACAAAAGGCCTTTCACCAGTGTGAACCCTCTGGTGCTCAATAAGGTGGGAGTTTCTCATAAAGTCTTTCCCACATTTAGTGCATACAAAAGGCCTTTCACCAGTGTGAACCCTCTGGTGTGCAATAAACTCGAACCTTCGCCTAAAGAATTTTCCACATTCAATGCACTCAAAACGCTTTGACTCAGTGTGCATACTCTCATGATCAATAAGTGTAGACTGGTATCTAAAGACTTTCCCACAATAACTGCACTTATAAGGCCTTGCTCCACTGTGAACTCTCTGGTGTACAATTAGATTGGAGAGATACCTAAAATATTTCCCACATTCATTGCACTTATAAGGCATTTCTCCAGTGTGGATTCTCTTGTGCTGCGTAAGGTACTGTTTTTGACTGAAGGCTTTTCCACATTCACTGCACTCATAAGGTCTTTCTCCAGTATGGATTCTCTGGTGCCGGACAAGTGTAGCTTTGCGGCAGAAGGCTTTTCCACATTCACTGCACTCATAAGGTCTTTCTCCAGTATGGATTCTCTGGTGCCGGACAAGTGTAGCTTTCTGGCAGAAGGCTTTTCCACATTCATTGCATTCATAAGGCTTCTCTCCACTATGGATTCTCTGGTGTTGGACCAGTGTGTCTTTGTGGCGGAAAGCCTTCCCACATTCACTGCACTTGTAATGCATTTGTTCACCATGAAATGCATCCTTATTCTCAGTGCTCCTATGTGTCTTCCTCTTGCTGTGGTAGATGGCCTTTTGTTGGCAAGCACCCAAAGTAGCCTGGAAGTTTTTCTGCTCCTCCTTACAGGCAAAGGGCTTTTCTGATGGGTGAGGTTCTCTGCTAACTGTGCAGTTCTTCACAAACGAGGCCTCACCTTCATCCCTTCTTAAGGGTTTCTCTATACTGTAACGCTTCTGGTTCTGGAGAAGGTTTGCACTGAACCCAAATTGTCTCCCACAAGCCTCACATGTGTGAAGTTTCAGTCCATGGTGTGTACCCTGGTGTTCATCCAGGTGCAAAATATCTTTCAAGATAGGGTAACATATGTCACAAAAGTGAGCCGCCTGTGTGGGTGAACCTGCCTTGGAAGTATTAATATGTGACATATTAGTATGGCTCTGTTCAGAAGATGCCTCTTCATCCTTCACTCCATGCCAACAACCTGAAGGCAGAAAAGTACTATTGATGTACATGGTGACTATGGTGAGTGGGGCAACTCCATCACAAATGAGTGTCTGGTGTACCCAGGACTGAGCCCCTAAGTTTCCTGGTGGGACAGAGCTAGGATCGGGGTGAAGAAAGGGCTGCTATATAGTACTGGAATCTAAGGTCACCCGGAATGGAGATGGCCTCCCAAGAAACAAAGACACAAGGATGGGGTGTAGTGCAGGGAGAAGTGCAAGGTCTCCAACTTAATCCTCTGCAACGACTTTTGGCTGGACCTTGGCTGACTGTGGGTGACAGGAGACTGCTATGCAGAAATGTGTGTCCAGGCCCATGAACATGTGATTACAAGTGAGTGATGTGTTCAGGGACTGTTTCAGGATATGTACGCATCTTACGACACATTAGTGTTTAAGTGTAGTCCAATACTGGACAGCACTGAAGAGAGTCCTGTTGCTCTACTAGAGCCCCTCTGGTACAGAGTGGGAGAGAACAGCCCTGGGTGAGAAGTCAGATTAGAAATGACAAGAGTGTACACAACGGGGAAAAAAAGGTAGAAATAAGTTAGGACCTCTGGCCTTGGCACCAGTGATGGGCACAACATAGGTTTCCGGAACTATAGGAACCCAGCCCTGAGGTCATGCCCTCCCTCAGCCTCAGCTCCCACTTACCAGGGCCTGCCCAAGCCCCTCCTGCTGTGACTAGAGTCATGCCCTCTTCAGTTAGGCACCTGGAGTTCTCTCTCTTGCTACAGTTCAGCAACCACAGAGGATCTGGAAGATACAAAGCATAGACAGGCGAAAGATGAAACAGGCTGAGTGAGAAAGCACTAGCTCAGAGTAGCCCACCCATGCAAAATCACAAGAAAACAAACTACAAAATGAACCCCAGAAAACTGTCCTGCAGCAGGAACAGTCTAGTGGGCCCATAAGTGGTGACCATGATGACGGAAACTGATGACACAGGCCGACTCAAGGAAAATGCAATCAGAGGAAGGGGGTGGAGTCTGGAGGTGTCATGAGTGTGGACAGTCACTTGGCCAGGGAGAGGCCAAGCAGGATTCAGTGGTTTACCTTAGGACCCCTGACCCCTAAACCATTCCTGGCAAGGCTTCAGGGCAGCAGGAGCTGAGGAACACAGGGAACAGAGGAGACAATGCATCTTGCTGAGCCTTGACACCAGGGGACCTATGTGAGGGAATCAGGAAAGACAGCAGTGCCCATGCTCTAGCCATGGAAAGTCAAGAGCAATCCCTAGGGCAGAAAGGAAGAGCAGAGCCCAGCCCACAAAAATGGGACACTGAGGCCCTACCTAGGGAGAGTATAAATGCAAAGCACGGAAACCATTATTTCATCACAGAAGAGTCTCTGAGCCTCATCGAGCAGCTCCCATTCCTCCTAAGAGAAGCACACAAATAAGTCTTCAGAGATCACATAGTCCCGTGTGAAGTGGTGGACAACTCAGCCTAAGGTCAGCCTCTCTCTCCAGGATTCCTTGTCGCATCTAACTGTAATGAGATAACCGGCCCTAGTTTGACTGATGCCTCTTCTCTCCTCGTATTCCATTATTCATTTTGTCCAGCCCCTAACAGGCAAGTGGACAGATTAAACACCATGGCCTGGCTTCTCCTACCAGCCAGCTCCCCTAGGATCAACCGATGATGCCTCATACAGAACCTGAGCTCAGCATTGTCTCAGAAACCCTCAGTAGCAAAGCTCTGGGCCCATGAATTCACACTCCATCTACAGGTGCACATCACCCTTCTGGCCATACCTCCTTTACATCTATGGACACCCACTACGTAGGTACCACCCTGGCTTCCCCACATTCAAATCTACATACAGCATCCAGAAAATGCTTCGATGAGGCATGCCGGACCATATCTGTTCCTGGTCAATGGCCCCACTTCCATGGTTTCACCTGAATCCAGCTATTAAACTCTCCCCTCCTGGCTCTATTTCATGGGTCAATTCAGCAGTGGAAAACCACATGCAGATCTCAGATAAACTCAGCATTGTTCTCCTTTGCTGCTGTACTACTGAGTTCAGCCACAGGCTTCATCTCAACATTTAACTCATTCAAATCGCACACCCGCTGGGGCACCTACCCCAAGCACAGTGATTCTGCCTACAGACCCAATCTGTCCGTGGGCTAATTCACTAGCTTGAAATTCCACAGGGGCCACCACGGAAGCCTGAAGACACATAAAGAGCTGAATAAAACACTGGCTCTGGCCTCACTGCCACTTCACTTCTATTACTACAGTACTTCACCTCACATCCACTCTCTCCCAGAAACACTTTGCCACCTGCCTGACCTCATTATTCCCCTTCCTCCCAAGGACACTTCCCTCCCTCTTCTAGCCTCTAAGATGGCCCCTACCCCCACCCTGCTGTGCCTGCCCTTACATTGTGCTCTCTGACGGCACTGCCACCATGATCTAAAGATTCTCCCTCTAAACTGGAAGCAAAACTCCATCCTGATCCACATGCCAGCTGCCACCCTGTGGATAGCTCCAACCTGAATCCCTTCTCTGAACTTCAGATCTCTGTGCCCAGCTGTCTACTTGACACCTCTACTCAAGTGTCCTTTGGAACATGGCAGATTCCACATAGCCAAACTACAGTCGTGATATAACCTCTGAAAGGTACTCCTATCACCAACTTTGTCCCCTCAGTTGATGGCATCCTTGTATCTTCTCAGAATTAAAAAAAAAAGCAGGGTCATCCTTCACCCCTTCCCTTTCCTATCTCATCCTCCAAAATCTGGTTGATCTCTCCTTTTTTTTTTTTTTTTTTTTTTTAAATAGATATGAGGTTTCATTATGTTGGCCAGGCTGGTCTCAAACTCCTGACCTCAGGTGATCCACCCACCTCGGCCTCCCAAAGTGCTAGGATTACAGGCGTGAGCCACCACACCCAGCCTGGTTGGTCCTTCTTTAAGGAGAATGATTCAGAATCCATCCACATCTCCACTTCTACAGCCACCACTCTGGTCCAACCTAAACTGTTACATGAAGCTCCTCAGTGGTATTCCTTCCCTCATCCTCACTCCCACAGTCTTTTCTTCACTCGACAGTGAAGACAAAGCTGGTTAAGACTGAAGTCAGATCATTCCCTCCTAGCTCCAAACCTGCAGTGGCTCCTACCTCTCTCAGCAGAGAAACCCAGATCCTCAGGCTGCCTACGGTTCCTGGGCTGAATCCTGTTCCTGCTGTCTGATCACACCAGACATAATGGAGACCTGAGGTTCCCCAAACACTCCTAGTTTAGCCTCAAGTGAAGTATTTGCACGTGCTGGTTCCTGTGCCTGAGATAATGCTCCATACTCCATCCCACTGCTTGCCAGAAATGGAAACCCTTCCACATAATTCCAAAACAGAATTTACAACACAGAGCTTTTGGGTGACTGCAGGACCTCCCCAAACGGTAGGTAGAAGGGACACTGAAGAGTCTCAGAACACTCTTAATTCTCTATACTGAGTTGCTGAGATAATGGGGTGTGTTGGGCTAAGTGAGGGCCTGAGACAATCTGGACTCACCTAGGTAGGAATCACAAGCTTCTGCCACCATGGCAACCTCACAAGAAGAGGGAAGCTGGGAGTGGCAGGTTCCCACAGTGGGATCTCATGGACTGAACTGTTTCCCTAACCCCTGCCAACCCAGCCCTTTGGCAGGGATGATTTCGGGTTACTTCTCTAACTTCAGATACTCAGACCTCAGTGCCGGCTCCTACCAGCTGTGTGGACGTAAACAGAGTGGTGTCTCAGTGTCCTCATGTTACAAGTGGGAAGAATAATGGCACCCACCTCATAGGGTTGTTGTTTCTTTTTTTTTTTTTTTTTTTTAATTTTTTTGAGACAGAGTTTCGCTCTTGTTACCCAGGCTGGAGTGCAATGGCGCGATCTCGGCTCACCGCAACCTCCACCTCCTGGGTTCAAACAAGTCTCCTGCCTCAGCCTCCTGAGTAGCTGGGATTACAGGCAAGCGCCACCATGCCCAGCTAATTTTTTGTATTTTTAGTAGAGACGGGGTTTCACCATGTTGACCAGGATGGTCTCGATCTCTCGACCTCGTGATCCACCCGCCTCGGCCTCCCAAAGTGCTGGGATTACAGGCTTGAGCCACCGCGCCCAGCCAGGGCTGTTGTTTCTATCAGGCTTGTCTGTACATGTCAAGTGCCTCTGAAACAGCTACTACTATCCATGCAAATAACCTGATATGTTTTTGAAAAATTAAGTTTGTTTTGCTTGCTTTAAAAACTTTTCAGAAAATTTGGGAAGATTTGCCATTGCAATAAAATACTTTAGGCAAATTAATATTTTGACCAATCATTAAGTGCTGGTGTAAGTTTAACATATATTATATACAGATTCTCTAGTTCCCTACTTCTGTGTACTTGCAAGGTGTACGCTAGCCTTTGCACTAAACCAGCCTACTTGACACATACTCCTCTGAAAGGGAGCTGCATGATCCTTCATTAGAGATGTTCATCCTTTCTGCTTACCCGCACTGGCTGGGGATGGGACTGCTCCACAGGCAGTGCCCGTGACAGCGTGATGAGACTTTCGGGTAGCAAATCTACTGCATTCCACACCTCGGTCTCCAGTGCAGGCCTTGCTACTTATACTCTACAGCCCTCTCCGCTTACTGACACCATATAGAATCCTCCCTGCAAGATTCTTTGAATTGGCTGCACCATGGACTACAGCATGGTGACCCCTGTGACCCACACGTACAACTCCAGAAGGTCTCCAGGAGCCAGAAAGGTCTGAAGGAAAGGGAAAACCACAGAAGAAGATGCACGGCTGGTTCCTGCAGTGCCCGATTAACTGATCTTCCATTTTCCCATTGTTCTTGCCTCAACCATTCGTGCCTTAAATGATAACCCAACCTCGTGACACTAGACCCTTGTGACACTACCCTCTCCCCGCATCAAACCCGGTGCCCCTCCCCACGGCTTGCAGCTTGCAAAAAGTGGGCTGAATTGTAACTTCCCACTGCCTACGCCAACCTCTGAAACCAACTCTTATCCCACCGCCCTCCGCTGACTCTCTTTTCAGACTCAGCGCACTTGTACCCGAGTGAATAAACAGCCTTGTTGCTCACACAAAGCCTGTTTTGGTGGTCTTGTCATTCATAGCACACCTAACATCTGGTGTTGAAACCTGGGACAGGGATACTCCTGTGGGAGACCAAATCCTGGCCCTGCTCTTCCTCTGTGAAGAAACGCCCCTGTGACCTCAGCACATCAGACCAGCCCGACAACCTTCTCATCACCTTCAGATCAGGGAAGCAGTCTCTCCCTCTCTCTTCCTTTAAATCTTTCTCCTTCTAAGTAAAGGAGAGCCGTCTCAGGGACAAGACTCTCCCCAACCCTCCCGGCCCCCCGGCTCTTTTCCTTTAACTCCTTCGACGTCTTTTTTTTTTTTTTTTGAGAAGGAGTTTCGCTCTTGTGACCCAGGCTGGAGTGCAATGACGCGATCTCAGCTCACCGCAACCTCCGCCTCCTGGGTTCAGGAAATTCTCCTGCCTCAGCCTCCTGAGTAGCTGGGATTACAGGCACGCGCCACCATTGCCCAGCTAATTTTTTGTATTTTTAGTAGAGACGGGGTTTCACCATGTTGACCAGGATGGTCTCGATCTCTCGACCTCGTGATCCACCCGCCTCGGCCCTCCCAAAGTGCTGGGATTACAGGCTTGAGCCACCGTGCCCGGCCTAAATAAATACTTTTTTTTAAAGGCCGGGCGCGGTGGCTCAAGCCTGTAATCCC